AGAGACGATGGCTTCCGGGGACCTCGTGTTACTGCATAGGGTTCAGCTGTGCACCTGGAGCAAGTTACTTCTTTAGTCTTTGATTTCCTAGTGTGTAAAGTGGGTAAAGGGAGTCCTGGTGTGGCACTGTGGGCTAATGTGTCAGACTGCAAAGTTGTCTGAACTGTAAGGTCTGTGGTTCAAGCTCACCAGCTGCTTGGAAACCCTACACAGGGTCACTATGGATCGGAATTGACTTGACAGTACTTAACAACAACAACAAAGTGGGTAAAACAATAGTACTTACCATGTGGGGTTAATGTGAAGAATAATGGGATAAAACATGTAAATGATTAAATATGTTGTCTGGGTTCAGTACATGTTAACTGTTGGTAATAACAAAGCCAAAACAAAACAAAAAATTAACAACAAAAAAAACATAAGCCTGTTCCATCGAGTTGATTTCGGCCTATGGTGATGCTAAGTGTTGCAGAGCCGAACTGTGCTCCCTGGGGTTTCTAAGGCTGTGTGTGACCTTTTTAAAGTAAACCACTATGCCTTCCTTCAGTCATCTCTAGGTTGGATTCGAACCACCAACCTTTTGGTTAGTAGTCAAGTGCTTAACAGTTTGTGCCACTCAAAGATAATAATTTGTTTATTAATAATGTAGTGATAGTGTGCCACGGACTTGATTTCCAACTCATAGCAATCCTGTATAGGGGTTCTGAAGCTGTAAATCTTTACAGGAGCAGAAAGCCTCATCTTTCTCTCGCCGTGACTGGTGGTCAGCAACGCACAATGCTACCAGGGCTCCTTTATTAATAATAAATACTACTAACATGTTGTCGGTTGTTGTGTGCCATTGAGTCGGTTCAGACTTTTATCAAGCCTGTATAGGGTTTCTGAGGCTGTAAATCTTTATGGGAACAGAAAGCCACATCTTTCTCCCATGGAACGGCTGGGAGATTTGCACTGTTGACCTTGTGCTTATCAGTCCACCTCCTAATCCACTATGTTACCAGCACCTTTAGATTAAAATATTCTTAGCATAATATGGTCTGAAAGTTCACATGTGTACCTACTGGTTCTCTGGATATATTATTTAACTTATATTCATAGATAATACCATTGGTCGTGGTGATGGCTGTGTACTGTCAAGTTGGTTCCCACTCATAGGGACCCTGTATAGTATTTCCGAGGCTGTAAATCTTTACAGAAGCAGATTGTCTCATCTTTATTCTGAGGGTTGGTGGATTGGAACCGTGGTTAGCAGCCCAATGTGTAACCCATTGTGATACCAGGGATCCTTAGATAACATCATTGTTTTCATTTAAAACAAAAACAATTTAAAAGCACTAAAATTCTAAGAACATATTGGTTACTATGGAGTCCTGGTGTGGCGCTGTAGGTTAATGCGCCAGACTGCAAAGCCATTTGAACTGCAAGGCTGGTGGTTCCAGCTCACCAGCTGCTCCTCGGAAACCCTATCCAGGGTCGCTGTGGGTTGGAACCGACTCAAAGGCACTTGATAACAATAACAACATTGGTTACTATGATTTCCCTCATCAATGTACACCAGGTGTATTTAAAAGTATTTTAATCTTTTAAGGGATTCTCATAGTTAAATTTTTTGGGAACAAGGCTGTTGTGAAGTAAAAAAGTGTTACACATATTTTGGCCATAGCTGAGTAACCCTACTGAATCAGACCTGAATTTGGGGAACATGCTGACCTGATGTGACTCTCAATTCCACTTATAGCCTAGACTTCTGAGAAATTTGGGAATACTCTTCAATCTTTCAGTACTTAGGTTTCTTTATCACTAAAATAAGGATAACATCACATGAGGGCTATGCTGTTGTTGTTATTAAGTGCTGTCAGTAATTTCCGACTCATAATGGCCCTGTAGAGGGAACACCTGGTGGGTTTGAACTGCCGACCTTGTGGTTTGCAGCCACTGCTGATCCTACAGTGCCATCCAGAGAGTCCATCCCGGGGATTTAAGAGGGATTACATTAACAGGTGTTGTAAAGTTAATTTCTGTAGTAACCCTGTGAAACAGAGTAGAACTACCCTGAAAGGTTTTCTAGGTTATGATATTTACCAGGGCAGATCGTCAAGTCTTTATCCAATGGTGCTACTAGGTGGGTCTGATCTGCTGTCTTTCAGTTAGTAGCCAAGCTACTAATCACTGTGCCACCAGGGCTCCTTGTTACATTGGGCTGTTTTGCTTGGGTGCCGTCCATCGGTTCTGACTCATAGTGACCCTATCTACAACAGAATGATAGACTGCCCTGTCTTGCACCATCCTCACTATCTTTGGTTGAGCCCATTGTTCCTGTCAATATGTCAATCCACCTCGTTAAGGATCTTCTTTCTTTTTACTTCACAAAGGAGTTCTAATAGCGTTATTGTGGTTATGTGCCGTGGAGTCGTTCCTACTCATAGTGATCCTGTACAGTGTTTCCGAGGCTATAAATCTTTATGGGAGCAGAAAGCCTCATCTTTCTCCCGCGGAAAAGCTGGTAGTTTTGAACCGCTGAACTTGCGGTTTGCAGCCCGATTTGGAACCACTACGCTACGAAACGGGCTGTGAACCGCAAGGTCGGCGGTTTGAAATTACCGGCTGCTCCCTGGGAGAAAGATGAGGCGTTCTGCTCCCGTAAAGATTTACGAGCCCTGGAAACCCTGTACAGGATCACTATGATTCAGAACAGACTCCATGGCACATAACGACGACAACAACTATCCAAGCTCCCTCCTGATACCATGTCCAAAGGATGTGAGACCAAGTCTTGCCATTCTTGCTTCCAAGAAGCATTCTGCCTGGATTTCTTCCAAGACAGATTTGTTCCATTCTTCTGGCCAACCCAAATCAAACCAAACCCACTGCTGCTGAGTTGATTATGACACAGAGGTACTCTAAAGGGCAGCGTACAACTGCTTCAGAGTGTTTCCCTGGTTGTAATTTCTACAGAAGCAGACTGCCACAGCTTTCTTCTGCAGAGTGGCTAGTGCACTTGAATGCTGACCTTGTGGTGAGCAGCCTAACACTTAACCCAGTGCACCACCAGGACTCTTTGTTTTAGCAGTCCTTGGCATATTTTATATTCTTTGCCAACACCATAATTCACATGCATCAGTATCTTTGCTCTTCCTTATTCATAGTTCAGCTTTCACATGCATGAGGCTATTGAAAATAACATGGCTTGAGTCAGGCACACCTTAGACATCTTTGCTTTCTAGTATCTTAACGAAGTATTTTTGCAGCAGATTTGCTCAATGAAATACATTGCTTGATTTCTAGACTGCTGCTTTCCTTGGGTGTTGATTGTGGATCCAAGTAAAAGGAAATCCTTTACAACTTCAATCTTTTCTCTGTTCATCAGGATGTTGCTTATTGGCCCTGTACTGTATGTAAAACACTTAGCACAATAAGTGGCAAAGAAAGTGCATAAGAATTGATAGATAACAGAATGCTAATCATTGGATATCTGTGAAGCCCCAAGTGTGATGGCTCTAACAGCAAAATAAGCATCCTTTCAAACCCTGTTAGAATTGCAAATTTTGGGCTTACACTGTTGTTAAGAATGAGTAGGTACCGGCTCATAATGATCCTGTATAGGGTTTCCGACCCGCAGCTAGTGCATTAGAATCGCTTACCTTGCCGTTCGAACCGATCTTGAGGTCCAGTGCGTATCCTATGGTGCCACACAGGCTTACAGAATCAAACGCTGGAGGTGGGGTCCACCAGTCACGGCTTTTACATTCCTTCCTAAAAGATTCTGATTAGTTTTTCAAATTCGAGAACATCCGTCATTAAAAAAAGTTTGGATAGTGTAGCGATGTGATGAAAATGAGTGTTGAGCACAGACACTTAAACAGGCTTTCTTCCACTTTGGAGCTGGGTGGGTTACAACCCCCCTAAATTTCGCAGCCAATCTCAAATCACTTGCTCCAACCAGAAACCTTATAGTTGGTTAATTAAACTGCCTTATAATTGGTTCATTTAACTGCCTGACTATAGACTAGTCTCAAAGGCACAAAACATGGGTTAGTTCTCATGGTCCCAAACAGAGCCCATCTACTGAGGGCAGTAAGGAGCGCAGCACAAGGCAATTAGAGTTGTCTTGGGTTTAGCTACTGAGTCTCTTGTGGCGGGGTAGCCAAGCGATGTTCAGTCAATCCCGCTGCAGAAACCCGGTCACAATTTTATCCTGGAATAGAAGATAAAGGAAAAGAAAACCATGTAGGGAAACCGGAAATCAGGGTCTTAAATGTATCCTAGCAGGTGGTGGCAGTGGAGAGGCAGAGCTGTGGGAGAGGAGACGGGGAGGACCCTTCTCCGCTTGCTTACACTCCTTTCTATATCCCTTTAGATCTGGCCCAGCAGGGCAGGTCACACCATCTCTTTGAGTGATTGACGGATTTCTCAGCCTCTTTGCATTTGGGTCCAAGTTTATTTTTCTTTGATTTATTGTCTGTGCGAGGTAGGGGCATTTCCTTAACCTTAGCACCTTACTGGGGACACCACAGTCCCTTTATCTCCCCTCTTAGGGTCTCCTGGCTCTTGCCATTTTAGAGACCAGTGAGCAGAGCGGGCTCGGGCTCGGGCTGGGAGGCCCCACCCTCACCCTTGGTCCCGGCGTCGTGTCTGGGCCCGTGGGCCCGGCGGCCGGGCCATTGTTTCGGCCCCACCCCTGATGAATATTCACGCAGCGCGAGGTGGTGGCGCGGGCCGAGGCCAGCGGACGCGTCCCGTGCCTTACCCAGAAGGGCTTCGGGTTGTGAGTGCGTTTCCGCTCGTTTTTCCTGTCGGAGAAGGAAAGGGGGAGCTGTTTTCTTTCTCCTCAGAATATATTTTTGGTGTCCCGTTTCTCCTCCTCCTTTTTTGCTGCCACCTCCTCCCTCTCCGCCTCCCTCTCTGCCTCCGCCTCCCGGGTTATCTTTGTCTCGCTGCCTCGCGCTCACTCGCTCAACTCTCGGCGGCGCCGCGGCCCCACGTTTCGGGCCGCGTCCTCGATGCGCGCGGCGCGGGGCGCGAGCTCCGGGGCCTGAG